CATGTAACAACAAAGTCGGATCCTTCAAGTAGCACCCATGTAACAACAAAGTCGGATCCTTCAAGTAGCACCCATGTAACAACAAAGTCGGATCCTTCAAGTAGCCCCCATGTAACGACAAAGTCTGGCCCTTCAAGTAGCACCCATAGAACAACAAAGTCAGATCCTTCAAGTAGCCCCCATGTAACAACAGAGTCGGATCCTTCAAGTAGCACCCATGTAACAACAAAGTCGGATCCTTCAAGTAGCACCCAGAAACCCGTGAACCTCAACTTGTCGATAGAAAGTTTATCAGATCGAGAGTTACTCGTCAAATGGAACCCAAAATACTTTACTGAGACGAGAGGAATTAACTCTATAATTCAGATTAACTATTGTGATTGCTTTGAAAACCACAAAATAACAAAAGTAGTTAGTAGTAAATCAGGAAGCACCACGATCTCGAACTTGCAGGAGCACACAAATTATAATGTTTGTGTGTTGACAAACGAAAATATCTGTAAGGAGGGGAAGACAAATATAAAGCCGGAAAATGAAACACTTATCGCAAAGAAACACAAACCTTATGTCATAATTATTTCCATTGTAGTTATTGTCGTATCTATGGGTTTGGGGTATTTGCTGCGAAAAATCATTGAACGATATATAAACGCAGTACAACTCCAGTCCGATGATTTAGAATTTCCACAGACCACTACCGGTCTAGGGTTGTCAGATAGTTTCAGATACTCTGTGAGCACCAACTCGTATTTAAGTGTACCAGAAAATTTACCTCCAGGCCGCCGACCATCTTCCTTCTGCGACGTTTCTTCTACTGCTAGCAACGATTGTACACAGCCCAGGGTCGAGTACCTTCCAGTGTGTGACACGAAACAGCGCCACTCACGTGACAACGGCCACCCTGAAGATTGGAACACCACATCTCGCAACAATACCACAATATCTACTAGCAACACAGGTACATCGAGAAGAAAGGATTCAACTGTTGGAGTTCAAAACTTTGGATTTATTGATGATATTGTTACGAAGCTTTGACGGTACGACCAACAGATGGCGTTTGTAAGTATGCCATTTATTGTAT